TACGTCACTGGAATCTTATTACTTTCCCCACATTTTCTTCCTTTTTATTCACTTCTAATTCCTATTTATTTCCTTTACTGAGAGGCTCATTCAGAAAAGAAGAGCAAGAAATAATGGGAAGAATTATTAATCAATATTTTGAACAAAACAAAAAATTTTCACTAAACAGATATCTATCTGCCTGTTAATGTGTAAAGGGGGTCTATGAGGGCCTGTATGCAGCATGAATCTTAGTGGGACAATTTTTGAATCTGCAAAAGTCCCAATGTGATAAGTAATGTACCTCAGTCCCCTAGAATAATTCGCTAAATATTAACAACTAAACTAAGCTAAGCTAACTAAACTAAGACTCATCTAATGCTGTGAAACCTTGTAATGTTTGAAAACACAACCCACTGTAACTAACGTGACTTGAGTAATTGTCCTATGCAAACAAATCTCAATCGTCTCTATACACACATGCAATCACACATACACACACCTCCTCTCGGACAAATCACATTCACAGTCAGCGTTATGCGAATACAGCTTATTCGTATTCCAACGGCGACGCCTCGAATTTGCATTCAAACCAGGAATGTAATATTTATGCTGTAAAATAATGCTACTCTTCATTGTCAATTTGCTTGGACATAAAAGTACATTAGATGGCTGCCGCATTCCAGCTTGGGCAAGTCAGAACAGACTCGGGCGATGAGAAGCCGCATTCCCATCAGCAATGGAGAGAGATGAACTGAGAGAAAGCAGTATACGGCATACATCGCCTATAGGGAAGCCCCCACCTTTCTTAAGTTATACAAGCTGTTACATTTATTCCAAAGCATCTTTGCCAAGAATTACAGGTTAATATGTCTAATAGCAGTGGGAAGGTGAAGCGCACGGACTTGTTTTATGTGTCAAAGGATACTTTCTAATCATGGCTTTCATGTCATAGTGTGCAAGCCGGAGGTTTTCGCATGAGCAGAGCAGAGAACCACAATACAGCTGCATTCCTGCATGCATGAGTCAGACGTGGGGGAAACGGGATGCATTCGAGTCTTTAAACCGATCAGTATTCATGCTCTCATAGGAGAGAGAAAAGAGAAAAGGTAGATTCTGAGGTAGATGGAGCGATCTAGCATTCTCTGGAGTTGCACACGCACACATATACAGGGAAAGAAAGAAAGAATGAATACATTCCTGGGCGCGTTGAGACAGATTTGCCGCCTACAGGGAAGAGGCTACTGTAATCCAGCACCATTGTGTGTGTGTGCGCGTGTGTGTCTGTTTGATGGGGGTCAGAAAAGCAGAACTCTGCCGTGTCCTGGAGTATCAAAGTAATACAGCCAGGTATATTACACATGCTTGGTTTGTTGACCAATAGGTCATCTCTTCCCCAGTGCCACAGCACAATCTCGTTGCATTGACAATAAAACTGATCTGAGTCTATTGCTGTTTCACCTCATCATTAAATTGTCTCTTTTAACCTGAATGCACATGCACATGTCTATGATTTAATTAAAAATTAAAATCAATGATCAAATTAACTTAAGGTAACAAAAAGGTATACTTACACGATTATTTTGGGTTGGTTTGTTGTTTGTCAGTAGAGAAACCTTGATGCATTGATTGCAAGCAACTTTTTTCCTATTGCAATAAATATAATAAAAAATAAATATAAGATTGTATTTATAATATTCTTTACTTTACTTAACTTTATTGTCCTTAAAAGGCTATTCTTTATGTAGACAACAGTATACATGCACATACAGCAGCAAGACTACACACATAAAACACACATTTATAATAAGTCATTTAAAGACATGATTGCAGGTTTCAAAGGAATTCTTGTATCTGTTTGATTTGCACAAAGGGAATTTAAATCTCCGGCCAGAAGGAAGCAGTTGAAATTCATTACACAATGGATGGGTGACATCAGAAAGGACTAACTGGCCCTTCTTAGTCACCTTATAGTCATACATTTGTGTGATAGTCCTTAAATCAGTCCCCACTATCTTACTGCACATTTTAACTATACTGTTCAACTTACCCCTGTTCTTTACATTCAAATTGGCATACCAACAGATAATAGAAAAACTTAAAATAGATTCAATAAAACAAGCATAAAACATCTTCATAAAAGAAACATCCACATGAAAAGTTTCCTCAGAAAATACATACGGTGAAGAGCTTTCCCTCTAATCATATCAGTGTTTGCCTCAAATTTTAATTTATCATCAAACACAGTGCCTAAATATTTGTACTCCTTGACCACTTCTACCTGGCAGCCAGCACAGGTACAAAATTCTTCTTACGGAAGTCAATGAACATCTCTTTTGTTTTAGAAGCATTAATGTTTAAAAATTAAGCATCACACCACTGAATAAAATGATCTACCACTGGACCATGACTCCCATCTGACTCAGTGAGGAGAGACACAATCACAGAATCATCTGCAAATGTAATAATGTGTCTCCCCTCAAAAACACTCCGATAATCATCATTATATTAAGAAAACAAGAGAGGGGACAAAACGCAACCCTGTGGGGTACCAGTAAAAGACAACAATGCATTGGACAACACCCCATTAACACATACTCTTTGGGATCTGCTAGTTAAAAATCCACCAACCAACCAACACACAATATTTAAGTCTAATTTAAAATTTTCAACAAGTTTCTTTGCCAGAAAATTCAAAAAATTATCATATTTTTTAAATTTGATATTTACAATGAATGTTTGTCCAGTCAGCTGTAGAAATCATAGTAGTTAAACCATAGTACATGACAAATGTTAATAGTGTGATAAATTTTAGTTTGCCATGAGACCGGGTAGATATATATATATAACATCAAATTTTAAATAAAATATTTACTTAACTACTTTTAAAAATATTTTACAAATATTAAAAAAATATATATATATTATATATATGCTTTTAAAAAAAAAATCAAAACATTAACGTGGTATTCATTCTAGTGTATATAAGATTTAACATGGGGACAGAATGAGTGATTTCTACAGCTGATTGAATGGACAAACACTTGGGGACAAAGACTTTATCCTCAAACAGCAGGGAGGATGTTTGCCTTTAACCTCCATTGACACAGCTTTTGTTTTCCGCCAAAGTTTGACTTGGGTCAGTTAAACTACTGACTACTGGTTTCTTTGTTTTTTTCTTTGGGTTCTGACCAGGTGCTTGCATTGTACTTTTAAGAATGCTGCAGTGGCCTTTAGAGCAAACAGTGGGGAGCAAAAGTCTAACACAAAACAGGAACATTTCACTAATCCAATTTGATAAATGTTTTTCCATTATAAATCATCAGAAACTGATACAAATGTTTTAGAATTTCAATGTTGTCTTCACTTTTAGGCTTTGGGGTTGGTACAATTTTAATGTTTTTAAAACCATCTCTTATGCTCACCAAGGGTGAATGTATGTACTTGTGTAATATGGTGAAATATCATTACAATTTAAAACAACTCCATTTCAATACATTTTAAAATGTAAAAACTACAGTTTTCAGTATCACGTGAGTCTTCGGCAATCATTCTAATATGCTGATTTGGTGCTCAGTTATTATCAATGTTGAAAACAGTTGTGCTGCTTAAAACATTATGGTTTAACGTTTTAATATATAATATTTGTTTTATTCTCTAGTGAACAGAAAGCTCAAAAGAACAGCATTTATTTGAAAAAGAATTTTTTTTTGTAACATTTTCAATGCCTTTGCTGCTCCTTTTGATCAACCTAATGAATCCTTGCTGAATAAAAGCACAAATTCATAAGTAATAAGTAATCATGCTCATAAGTGCTTGGAGACACTCACAGAGACAGTGCTGACAGTGACACACCTGCAATAGAGATTTTATCTGACAGGATTTCAAACCTCCCCCTCTGATGTAGAGTTCCTTAGGGTCAAGAACAGACAGAGAAAGAATGGGTGGTCACTGCATGCTCAGACAGCTCTGCAAACTCCTCATACAGATTCATAATCTACAAAAAACAAATGAAGTGAAATGAGCTTTTATTTTCTTTTTAGAAGTGGTCAGCGCTGAACATGAATCTAGCTTTAGAGAAAACGGGAAACTGACCTTCTGCAATACTTCAAAGGCATCACACAACACTATATAGTGGGGACTGGGTCAAACTATTGAGTGCCACATCCTCTTTTGCAGGCATTTGCAAAGTTTACCTATTATAGGCATGTGTTTTATTGACTACACCATTTCCAGAAGCTGCCCTAATTAACTGTACCACATCAGTGTCTGTATCAGCTTGCAAATTTAGAAGATTACACATGGCAAGCGAGACAAAATCCTACAAAACACACACGGCTCTCAAAATGTGCCACATGAAATAATATTCCCAGGTGATTGTGAGAATTAGTCCTCAGGAATTCCATCAGATCTGTAATCAGTCAAACCCCCGCTGCTTCCTACCCACATGCCCATTGTCTTGTTTCGAATGCCTATAGAAATCAACAGGAGGGGTGGGGCATTCCTGCTCCTGTTCAGACTTGAGCTCATCGCACATTGTAAAAAACATGCTGTTTTTGTGATACAACGTGAAGGAAGTTTCAGCTATAAAGACTAAAGTCTGCGGCTGTATGTCATGTCAGCACAGGTAATGGTACTGTTAAAAACATGGGAAAGAACGGATGTATACTGAAACATGACTTTAATGTATTTTAGAGTAAAAATGAATGAATATATATGCAGAAATGTGCCAAAGGACAACAATAAAAAACCTAAACCCATAATACAATAAGAATTATCACTGAATGCTATGCAAGCTATGCTTTAGCAGTCAAATTGAACTTAAATTATTTTGAGATAAATAAGCAAGCAGAGTGCAGTACGCAAACCAAAACATCAAACTTAAATTATACTATAAATCCACATTTTACTTACAGAGTTTGTGGCACTAGGTGTGGTTCAGATTTATGATACGAAGGGGTGCGGTTTACAAAAAAAGGCTAATTCCCATTGGTCGCTGCCTGCTGATGTAGCAGCGCTACCTGAAGCAGGTAGGCAAATAAAGACAGACCTGAGAAAGAGGATCACACTGCTGCTCATCACGACAGGACGCACATTAGTTCCAACTAAAAACTAAAAGACCTTCATACTAAAAGTTTAGGCCTTTTTATTTTTGCATGGTTTAACAGAAAACAATTTCTGACTTTTTGTTTCTTTAGCACCAATTTGGATCTAACGCCACGAGCAAGGTGAGTGTGTGGTCAAAATCAAGGTGGGTAACATTTAACAGCAGTTGTCTTGAACTGAAAATATTTTAAAATATTGTGTTGATTTCTTTTCAAGTGTTTCTACATTCAACTAGGCGATAATGATGTTAAAGAGACAAACTAAAAAGTCGTTTAAAGCATATAAATATATTACAACTTCAATTTTGATTGTGTGCATGCAAGTAGATAAATCAGTTCAGATCAGTACTGAAACGTGTGGAAAACCCCCCTCTCAAACACACAAGCATGTTCGCGGGGGGTGGGGGTTTAGGGTTGAGTTACACTGTGTTGGGAGTCAAAATGCAGAGTTTTCTGTGGTTGGCAAAGCAAACAGGCCTCTTACCTGTATGACCTACAGGCACGGAGGGAGAGACAGGTTTGGGCTCGCTGAAGGGAGAGGCCAAGACACAGAGTACATTCTCTCACACTCTCTGAACACAACAACAGCCTTCGCAATGGAACATTTTGAACCTGCACAACAAAATAGTATCAATTAGAAATGGAATTTGAAATTTCAATGTTCAAAATTTGAATTGTACAGTGTTTTTAAATGGACAGTGTGCTTATGTTGTGTCATCCTTCAAACAGGTACAGACGTGCTGCGGAGGCCGAAAAGTGGTTTTATCTGCTCTGTGAATTCTATCCTTCATTCCACCGGAGTCTGTGTAGCTGTCCAATCAGATTTCAGTGGTGTGAAGTGTAGGAGACATGGAAAGAGCACTTTTTCCACAAGCTGCAAAGGCTGTTTTCATGGGCTTAACAGAAAAACAGCACAGATGCAAGGTGAAACGCATGTCAAGAACACAATTACAAGTTTTCAAAGGCATGCATGGCTAGTTTTGCGTTGTAGTATAATTTGCCATGTGCTTTCATGCTTGCACGGATCAATGCAGGCTGTGACAGTTGCATGCTAAACGCTGTGAATGTTAAGCCCCCGCTGTCCTATTGTGCATTTAAGTTCAGTGTATCTAAACATCTATGTAAAGCGTCGTACCTCACCCTGCCCTTTAGCGCACCGCTCCAGCTCCACACAACATGGCATGTTTGTTCATTTACTGTTGTGGAGAGAGCCGAGGCGGGCTGAGTACACACACACCCACACATGCAAGATTCACAAAGCCTGCCAAAATGTATTTATGTATGCTGGTTCAGCCTTTATCCTCTCAACCCACACTAATAAACTCACTTTACAAAATGTGTTTGTGTGAATTGCTTAATCCTGACAATAAACCACTACAATAAAACGTAACCCTTACTCATTCCCTTGGCATTTGGAATATGAATGTTGCAGTTGATGAATTTCAATTAGTCCACCAAACATGTGACCTGCTCTTTGCATGCATGTGGTGAGGTTGAGACGATGTTAATGTTGGAAATGATTTCACACAAAGCCAAGCTGAGGTGAAGCGAGTTCAAAGCAAGGCAAGTACAGAGCGAGACACCCTCAGCTTTACAGAGTTCATCAACATTCAATGCAAAGAAACTTTTCTTTTGAGCAGTTTAGTTGATTCCCCTTGTGGAGTTGCTCCTCGAAAATGAAAAATAAATGCAAAGTTAAGAGTTTCGCCTCAAGGTTACGCTCAACAAAGCACTCTTGCTTCTTGATTGTTAAATCATGTTTCGACTTGATCAGGGCCTATATTTAAGGCCTCAAAAATGAGATAACAGTGCTGAAAATACATGTTCAGCCAAAGCAATAAGGAACGTCATATAAAACAATGGTATCACATACATCTCATTGGTCATTTTCAAGCACAGCTTTGTTTTTAAAGTGATTGGTAGAGTTATGTAAGAGATCATGTCCATTAGGCTGGTCATTATCACAATAACACTAAACCCAGGCACAAAGCGAAGAGGGGTTATATCACACTGAAGAGGTTTATTATGTGATAATGACAGGCTGACTGTACATTATACCTTACATAACACCTGCCCATCTCTTTAACAGTGTTAAAAATAGTATAAATATAATTGTACTATTTTACATTCCCTTAGCTCAAACAGTAGAGGATAATGTCCAGCCACCATGATGGCCAAAAAAAATGAGTCTGCAGAAAATTGAAGAAAAAAAAAGAAAATAATCAAGAAAAAAGACATTATGAAATGCATTTGGGTTTTAGAGGGCAGTGTAATACACACTTACCATCTTAAAGCACAGAACTGTGTGTTCTTATTATGCATTGATGTGAACCATGCATGACATTTTAAAAGGCTGGAAAAGCATCAAGGCAGCGTTTGAAGCACAATGACTTCATTTAATTTGCTGTGATTTGGCTTTGTTCGGTGTTGCGCATTTTGGTTTTGGTTTGCCAGGCACCACAGTTCAATAGTTCAATATCCGTATTAAATACAAACAGCTTTTTTAAGCATAAAACATGCACACATGATCTCAGACATTGTAAAGAAAAAAAAATACTATATTTCACTCAAATCTGATATAACAGCTCGAAGTAAACAGGAACGTGTAGCAAGAAACAAGCTTAAATAATTACAGATATCCAGTCTACAAATTTTACTCAGCAGCAGAAATCAACAAAAAAGATTTATATATATATATATATATATATATATACATACATATATATATATATACATACATATACACATACACACACACACACACACAAGAAAGGAGGAGAAATGACAAGGCGTCCTTGCTGATGACCTTGACTATTTCAGGCCGTGGTGATCACAGCCTCCAGCACTGGCTGTTCCTTCAGCAGAAACCGGCCAAACAAAGCCATTTGTGCAGAGAACAGAACAGACTGTTTAGTTTCAAATTCCACACTTGATGACTCATGATTCCGGACGATTTGAAAATAAAGACAGACCAAGAGATGTAACTGCCATCTCCAAGATTTCAGTTACAATGCTAGCATCGGTGCGCAGCTTCTTCCTCCTCCTTTTCCTCAGCCCAAATCTTGCTGATGATACAGGTGAGTGAAGATGGCTTACTGCAGATGCAAATAATAACCAGACACAAAGTTCTGACTGACTGATCCACCTGCTGTGTGGTATTGACATGAGAGGATGGTTTATTTGCTGAAGGTGACAGTGATAGAGGGGTGAAACATGTCTCTCCTATCACACATCCCCATTAATTGATTACACCTCTTCTCTGCAAATATCACGCGCCTGCCTCTCCCATGATATTCACAGCTGTTCTATACATTCCTCAAAGGATGGTATCAGCTGCAGTCATAGCAACTGCCATAAAGACTGTCAAGCGTGACACAGGTAGCTTAAACCTAGAATGGTTCAGGCATAGATTTATATACATAGCTGCCTCATTAGCAACTGTTTCTATGGGCCGCAATATGTAAGCCAGCTGCCATTTTTGGAATGGTCTGTGAACCTTTGAGCGCATTGACTGTGTGCATCTACAACAGCAAGTTATACGCTCGTATATCTTTGAATACGCATTGATAATTATGGTGAATGACATCAAGTTGACCATTCCAAAATGGCGGACGCGTCAACGTATCTGGAGCGGTCGAATAGGGAATCTTTACATATCTATGGGTTCAGGCACAATTGTATATATACTGTATGTCGTTGGAGAGAAGGGTGGGATGGTTACATGACAAATTATTATAACCGGACATTTTTTAATTGTACTGCATCTCAACAATGCCTATTTTAATTGATCTGTTGAATAAATAATTTATAACAATGGAGGACATTGTCACAAGTATCATGTTATTAATACGGCAAGTTAAAATAACTTCTTTAAGAAAACATGTCTTAAAATAATACCGCTAAAATTTTACTTGTAAGGATAAGTATACACAGAGGAAAGCCTTACTACTATTAGTGTAGCAGGGAGACGGTGCCAAATTAGACAACTTCAAGCTGTTGTCCGTTGTAGACATTACTATCCATCAAGCAGGTAACGTTATTATTGCTAACATAGCGGACCCATCGAAAAATACATCGGCAACATCTGTATTAAAGAGAAAATAATCACTTCATCCGATGTTTAAGTGAATATAATAGCCTTGACAGCCGAGTTCCATAACTATTGACTTTGTTCTCGCTCACCGAACTTGTGTGTGTGTGTAGGTGATGCAGGGTTACCAGGTTTTCGCAACAAAACCCGGCCAATTGCTACTCAAACTAGCCCAATCGTGTTTCGAGGGGGGTTCCCTGGTAAAAATCGTGTTCCGGGCAGTAAAATACACGTTTTTCAATGGGGTTCCTCCCGCAAAATTCGCATTCCAGGGGCTAAATATCACGTTATTGGGGTCGCTTCAACCCACGGACATGAAAAACAGCCCATGGCAACAGTGTTAGTAGCCCAATTGGCAACACTGAGGTGATGTAAAAGAGAAAAGCAGGCATTTGGACCAAAGCACTGTGAGGAGAGAGAGGGGGAGACTCAAAATGTTTCTAAACTTAAAACGCATTTTTGCCCCGTTTGCGTTTGTGTTGTTTTACTACTTACATTTAAAGTATAAAACATTGTTATTTGCAATACACAGCGTGATTTTTTAATAATATTTTTAGGGGGGACAACCCTCAGATGGGGGTCCTGTCCCCCCTGACGCCCCCGGGATTTCCGCCTATGGAAACTCTAGATGGCACAGGCTGATGGGTCCCTAACGCAAACTAGGGGTATGCGATATTGACAAAAAATTATATCTCGATATTTTATGGGATTTTATCGATAACGATAATTAGACGATATTTTGCTGAGTGTGTTATTGTGCTGGTACCTTAAGGACTGCCAAAGACAGCTGACTCATAATGTTTTTAAATATTCTTCATATTCTGTGTGGTGGTCAGTTCATACTGATAGAAATTAATCTTTTCCAATAAGTTTAAACTGATTTTTGCATTTTAACCTTTATAAAGCCATTTTTTCTAAATCAAATTCTTACATTTAATCAGGGAATTAGAATAATAAGACATTTGGGCTGTTACCAAGCAAATGAAATCAACACAATACTCACTGCACTGTATCAGCGTATGTACTGGCAGTAGCAAGTTCCTGTACTTGCTTTGCAGCAACAGCAATAACCTGCAACAACAATAACCAACAGCAGCAATTTAGCAACGTAGCAGATCTATTCCGCCAAGACCAAATACATTAACATTGTCATATCCATTAAGAACCAGCTTTACTGACGAGATGCGCATTAAATATTGTGCGATATTTATCGTGCAGCCCTACATAAGAGGCTTTTTCAAAAGCGTAAAAAAAAAGAAATGACCTCAGTTTTGAACTATACATCTAACATTCAAAAAACATTAGTATTCACAACCAAGTGTACATCAGAATATGACTGCACACATTTCCATATCAAAAAACTAGAGGTGAGGTTACTCATTTCACACACAAAACGATTAGTCAATCAAAACTGAGAGCTGATTTACATATTCAAGAATGGTCATGTTAAACGAAATTACCACTTTCTGGTGCAAAAAGACTAACATTAGGAGGGAAAAAACAACATATTGAAATGTGTCTGATTTTTCCACTTTTGCCACAGTGGCAGAGGACATTGGACCTTACCAACTGGAGCGCCTGGTGGAGCTGCTGACAGCTCATGAGTGTGAGGAGCTCATCTCTGCCATATCTCAACCTGAGGAGAGCATTTTCCAACACTTAGACCGACTATCTGCAGAAAGGAACCAGTTACTGCATTCAAGAAGACGCAGAAACACAGGTAAATATGGTAAACACGAGAGCCGCTGCTTTAAATAGTTTAAATCAGCTCTAATAAATTGATACTTATTTGTTTTATGCTAATGAATTCCAGCAGTGCGATGTGTGAAGTGACACATCCTGCAGTAAATGAAGAGGTCATGAACAGCCAAATGTATTTGTTTATCTCCACTGCACACATCAGTCTGCCATCGAGAGGTCCACTCGAGAGACATCTCAACCAAACTAATTGTTGATATAATCCCTTTTCATCAGAAATGAAATCTATCGAGGCAGTGGGACATGATTGAATTGTTTAATTGCCTGAACAATTGAAGAGCTGCTGCTTCTATTGCTGGCTGCTTTCCCTGTCTGCAGCACGTTTGATATTGTGCATGTGTGTGTGTGATTGTCAGACCAGCAGGCCCCCTGTCGCTCAGCGCTTAAGGACTGGCTGCAGATTCACGGCAAGCAGATATACTACGACAGGCTGTCTCGTGCACTGCAACAGATCGGCAGGACTGACATTGCCATAGGTCAGCCGCACACAACAACATTGACACGCATGCAATGCACCACATCACTCAAACCAACCTGCAATATGTATAATATTGAGTAGAGATGCACAATATATTATCATAATGGCAAATATTAGAGATTCTTTAATTTAGCAGTCTTATTTTAAATGTATGTTTTAATTGTTCAGATGCTGAATATTTAATCATGCATGTTCATTTCAACTATTTTTATTTATTCTATATAATTCATATTACCTTTGACAGCATCTAACACTCCCTAAGGTTAATATAAAATACAGTGCTTATAATTTAACAAACCCTGTAATCTTTAGCAAATCTTAAAATTAACATCCATTCTTCATACTGAAGAAAATTATAATGTCATTAAGCCTAAATTCACTTGTAAATAATGAAAATTATTGAATGTAGTTTTAGTGTTTTATAAGTGTTTAATTTTTTTTACCCAAATACACAAATTTTATTGTTGTGCCAAAGTCATCTACTATCAACTTTCCAAAATTCATAAATATCTCAAGATTAAATATAGTTTCAAATATGCAAAGGTATTCAAAAGTTTTAAATTTAAACTGAAGATAAAAAATACACATTTAAATATAAACAAACATATATATAAACAGATTCTTGACCATTGTGTCAAATAGATTTGGAGAAGAGAAAAAAACAACTTTTAGATTTTTGAAAACCTAAAAACAAAAGTCAGATGGTTCTTTAAGGTTTGTAAAAATGTCCAATTTCAAAGAAACTGAACTCAAAACGCATAAATCGGTAAGTCAATATTTTTTGAGAATGATCCATCTACAAACTAAACTGGGATAGAAGAAAGTGTTTTAATATAGTAAAACGACATACTTCACCTTTAAGATCCCCTAAAAACCACAGCTAACATGCCATTCTTTAACCAACAATGGAGATTGCCAGCCAGCAAGAAAAACTGAAGTTCTGCAAAGATGCAAAGTTTTTCATCACCTTTCCTTTCGCTTTTTTTTGTTTTTGTTTTTTGCACACCACTGATGCAATAAGCATCGAGCTAATTCAGAGCAATCCATCTTACACAACAAAAGATGAAATTCAGCAGCGCATAATGTTATTTTTATACATTTCTGATGGGATGCGCTTTGCACCCTGTCACTCCTCTGGCAGTGATTGTGGTCCGGCGTTCAGGCGACTCCACAGCCGAATGGCATCGGATATGAGAAGGTGCAAACGATATGACAGCAGGCTCGCTGGAGCTGACATCAGATTCACTACACGCCATCTGTTCCTTTCATCATCTCCGTTAAAGGGAGAAAAGGATAAACGGAGAAGAAGAGGGGGGAAAATGACAGTCCAGAACATACAGCCTAAGAACATCCTTCAGTCAAAGCAGTGCGCTGCAGAAAATAAAAAAGATTCCTCTGCAAACAGAACCTGGTGCGTACGGCAAACGCACAATGCGGCAATTACAAGAGCTTTAATTGCCGGCCTGTAAATGGGCTCTGATGAGGAGTAGCCACTCAGCGACAGCACCTTGGATAAATTGCATACTTATGTTCCGGCATGTGTGTCTTCTTCAGTTGTTCTGGCTTTATTATACTTGGTACATTTATTGGGCCCGGCACACTTAGTTAATCTCATTTCCAGGCGTTCATGGAGGCCATTACTGTGTGTTTGATTTCTTAATGTGCTGCAAGAATCACTTGTGTCTTGTACGACTATGAAATGAATGTCATGAATAAACAGCTGCTTTAACTGCCTCCAGCATAATTGTAATCAAGTAATGAAGTGAATTAATGTTAAAACCATATTAAGTAAAGACAACTAGAGAACCAGACTAGAAGTAATGCAATACATGTGCTATTTATCTAATAGAGGTGGGTAAGAACATCAACCAGGACAAAACTCTTGCTATGCAGAGATATGTGGACGGCTACCATGAACTTGTCAACCAAATGGCCACTCACCTGGAGAAGCATGCATCAGAAGATCATGAAGACCATGAAGACCATGAGGAGGTGCTGCATTACTCTGCAAAACAGGGTGAGATGCCTCAGAAAGGGTAATGTGTTTTAAATACTCTGAGTGATATTCCTGGGTCTCTATATCTAAACCATAAAATATGCTATTATGCAAATACATTTCAAAGGGGACACTATCATACAGTTTTCAAGTAAGATAATACAGTTTTTTTCCCCCCTAAAGGTCGTGAATGTTAGTCAAGAGCTAGCCTAGTCTCTGAACAATGATTAGGTATTGTTAATGAATTGTTGGGTTTCTGATGATGTGGATATCAGAACAAGCCATTTTGGCCTCTTAATTTAAGCAAATGCTGTTTATGAACTGGGGCAGAAATTATGCAACAAGGGTCGGTAAGATTTTTAAATGTATTTGAATGCTCACCAAGGCTGCATTTATTTGATCAAAAATACAATAAAATAAATAAGTGAAATATTATTTCACTTTAAAACAAATATTTTTCTATTTTAATATATTTTAAAAATTGAATTTATTCCTATGATGCAAAGCTGAATTTTCAGCATTCATTATCCAGTCTTCAGTGTCACATGATCCTTCAGAAATCATTCTAATATACTGAATTGGTGCTCATGAAACATTTCTAATTATCAATGATGAAAGCAGTTGTACTGCTTCATATTTTTGTGGAAACCTTTTTAGTTCTTTTCAGGATTCTGTGATGAATAGAAAGTTCAAAAGAACAACATTTATTTGTAATTGAAACTGAAAGTCTTTACTGTCTTTATTGTTACTATGTGTGTGTGTGTGTGTGTGTGTGTGTGTGTGTGTGTGAGAACTACCTTTGCAAACACAACATCAACTACTTAAATTACTTAAACTGTCAACGTAAGAGTCATATAAAATATAGTTGTCTGTAAGCAACTGTAACTTATCCAAAATAAATGAATCAAGCCAACAATTGTTTCTGATTGCTTGACAGCCAAAGGGTTCACCTGGAAAGACGTGGACTTGGTGGTGAAAAGGCAACCAGTACCACCTTATCAGCCCCATCTGCTAGACAGAGTATGGCCTCTACTTTACGGCCTCCTGCTTGGATTTGCTGGCGCAGTACTCATAAGCGTGGCCGTCTTGCTTATTAGCATATATGTATCCCATGGCAACAGAACCAAATCCAAGGCCGAGTATCAACCCCGTCGCTGTCCCCTTCTCAGTGTTGTGACATCATCAGAGATACGCCACCCAGAGGACACACGCAGACCGAGTAACGGATGTTCAGGACACTAATGAAGCCATGTTCATCAGTATGAAACACAATATTAAATGTGCCTTTGATGGCTGATTATGACCAATGATACTTGCCTCAAAGTGTCTGTTATCTCTTCCAGTGTGTTATTAAAACTACAGTTAGACAGTCGCACACGTCGACACCTTCAGTTCCCACTGCTTCTCATAAAGACGTTTCTGCAATAAAGCACCTGACAGAACATAATGACAGCAATCTGTTACCTCCATCGAGACCGCTGCCATTGTCCTGTCAGTGTTTTGATGGGAATGTAGGGGAGGCTGCGCTGGAATGCAGCTTGGCTGCTGTTGCCTTGACAATCTTTGCACTTCCTGTTTCCAGTCCACGACAGTGGCGGCGCGCTCGTCTGGCATTGAGGAAAAACTAATTATCCAGCCTGGCTCCTTCTCCCCTGAGCTTGCACATACCCCCTGAAGCAATCCACAAGGCTAATAACAATGACAATGCCTGCAGATAATGCAGTCTGTACGTCAACCTCAGAGAGACAGGATAGACTGGGCGAGGATGACAATGAAAACACACGGGAGAGAGCGCTGAAAGGTACAGAAGGAACTAATTCAGCGAGATGAGCAATACAGCAGGAAATGAGCTCACGCGCAAGCAAAATATGTCTCACACACACTGGCATCGTCTCTCTTATCATTTAAGTGCTTCTCTTTTTCTAAAAAAATATGTGTCCCCTCCTCATCCTTTTTCCTTCCTTTTATTTCTTCTATAATTGAACTAATTACTTCATTATACAAATCCAGACTAATGTGCTCCTGGAACCACACATCATGGATTAATAGTGGTGCTAAGAAGCAATTATAGGCAATTAGTTCATAAATCAACATCTAACCAAATTATAGTGCAGGGGAGGGGAGTGTTGTATGTTCAAAGCACCGGCACATACTGAAACTTTAGGAGTTCCATCAGAAAGACCTGGCGGATTCGTAGATTCAGAACCGCCATGTAATCATCACTAAATCAAACAGTGTTTTAAGTTAAAGACCTGCAAGTATTTGATTATTTGTTTCAAGCTTATTTTAGAAAGGAATAGTGTATTCAAAAATCTTTTAATTGACAAACAACTGCCTTTCTCAGACAACCAACAAATGATAGACTGGAAGTCATTTCATTCATTTCCAAAGTAGGGTAGTACAAAAGCTGCATGGAGTTCCAACTAAATGCATATGCAGAATTTTCAGATCCAGCTTAAGCTTGAATTATTGAACTTTTGCAGCTACGCCGTATGTTAACGATGCATTCTAATCAAAAATAAGAGCATTAGAATTACCAAAATTTTTGTACTAAAGCAGTGTGATCAAAAAAAAAAAAGAAAGGAAAAAAAAAAAAAAAAAAAAAAAAAAAAGTCATTCAAAAAGAGTAAATTCATTAATTTAACACAAGGTGAATAAGAGGACGTAACAGTTGATTCTTGACCAGTTTGCAAGTTCCATGTGACTGCCACTGGGGGGGGGGGGGAAATTTTTTTTTTAATTTTTATAAATATTTTGTACCCCATTGACTTTCACTGTACAGACAAATGAATTCTCATATCGTCGTTTGTATCCCACAGAATCAAAGACATGAGAGTAATAAACGGTGACAAAACCCCTGTAAGTTGGGAAGTTTTTGCACCTTTATTTGTGGTTTGTGTTTGGGGGGCTGCTTTTTTGCATTGTAAATGTGCCAGGTCTAAACATGCACTACCTCTTTAAGATCTCATGCCTTTAAGTCACGTTTCCAGGAACCTAAATTTGTAGTTCTTCTTTAAACACCCATTTAAAGACCACTAGTATAAAGCATAAGCCATTTTGAAAGGCCCATCATCATCAACATATTATTATTATTACTGCAAGGTTAGCCCTGAATCTTGCTGTATTTTGCAGCATTTAAGGGTGCTTTCACACCTGTAGATCGATTGCTTTGTTCCGAAACAGGGATTCAAATTATTACAATGTTGCTTTTTATTCTTGGTGCGGTTCGCTGTGTTTTTTTAACTTTAAACCGCATAAACACATTTCATTACACCAAATACACAAAATAATGTTCTTTTTAGCAGCATCATATGACCCCTTTAAGACTCTGGGTCAAAAAAAACCTGAAAACTGCAGATCAATATCGGTTGTATAACAATAGACCAATCAGATGAATCTAGAGTGTGATGAGCATCTCTAGATATGCTGTATGGGAGTTAAAGCTCCTATAAATGTACATTATGTTCCGTCCAACTGTTCGTAATGCAAGAATGCAGCTTGTGTGAACAAAAAAATGTTGTAGATATATTACCTGTGTGACAATGTATGTCTAACATCTGACATGTCTATCTTCCTGTTCCTCTCTGATCTGTAATGATTTTCTGATGGTGTTGAAATGCCATGACACAGCAAGCAGCCAAGAACTCATCTTTACAGCAGAATGAAGACAAAGCCTTGGTGCAGATGGGCTCTGTCAGAAAGAAACACATAACAACATGGGTACATTGCCATTCTCTCTGACACTTGCTATTTTTGTTTGTCCCTCACACACATATAAATGTCACAAATTAACTCTGTCTCTCTCACACACGCATGAAAACAGATGGAGACAGACATATCATAGCAGACTCATCCATGCATTGATGCAACGTCTCATCCAAAAGTATGTACTTCGAATAAGATTAAGTATGTAGACATTTTTGCATGCTAAAGCAGCATAAAAGTGTGCTTGTATGCAATTCCAATTTATTACGCATCATATTTGACACATTTAAAATCATGTGTTTTGTCACCCGAAATAAATATTTAAAGTTTGTCAGGTTCACAACATGTAAAAACATTGAACATGCTGAACTTCTGTCCCTCACATCACATCAAATAAAACATGGCATCTGCTCTGACTGAAGTGTGTTTTAACAGCATGCTCTTTTTCATTATAAAACCTAATGTCAAATATGATCTCTACAATAAAGCTCTAACAGATGGACATCAAATCAATGCTTTTCTAAGCGAATGATTGATTGACATATTCTTACTTCAGCTTCTTCATATTTTTAATGTTTTTTCAACCAAGAATTGAGACACATAAATATTTTAATTACAAGTAAGGCAATGAATTAATTTTAAAATGTTGAATGTTGCTATTTATATGTCATGAGGTTTTCGAGTTGAACAAGAGTCTGGATGGAGAGCTCATCGGTTGAGAAAGTTTGGTAATGCCTGGTTTAGTAGAGGCTTAGATTTGATTCGGAAACTTAATTTGGAAATTTCGATTTGAAACCAGTTCACCAAAAAAAAAAAGATTCATTCATTCACTAATTAGTTCTATTGCTCTTTCTCTTTATTCACGCGAATCACGCCAGTAGGTGGCAAAAAGTGAAATGACATGCAGGGGTAAAAAGTAAATCGTGCACACAATTTACTAATTCGTTCCCTAATTTTAAGTAAATTGTGCGCTCGATATAATTTGCGCATCAAATAAGAATTTGGGCATCATTTTAAGTGAGAGGCATCCACACTATTTTATGAGAATGCGGACAGGAAGTAGAGCACGATTTACTTTTTTTTTTCTCGCATGTCATGTGCGGGGCTCCGTAGAAAAGGAAGTGGCCTTTTGTGCATTATAAATGAGTTGTATCATTCACTCAACCAATTCGTAATTCATATGAGGGACGATATTTTTGTCGGTCACGGTAGTCACTGTGTCAGATTACACGATTTTGACTCCTAAAATCTTGTGTCGTGGACAAGAAACATGTCAGACTACACGTTGCTTCCCGACCATTCATCGCGTACCGTCTTTAACGACGCGCGTGATGTCATCGAGAAGGCGGAACTAGCGACTGACTTCTGAAAACAAGAGTGTAAACATTGCTGAAGCGCTTCCGCTATAGTTCGCCAGCTCGGTTGTCGTCCACTATGACACACTACACGAGCTGAAACGATGGACTCTTGCGTCCCGACGCCCATTGTCATTTACGAATCCACACGACGCCCTACGTCAAGCAAATCGTGGCAAAATCGGGCTAAAATCGTGTAGTCTGAACCGGGCATTAGAAGGCAGGAAGTCAGTCACAAGCTTAAAAAGGGAGAGACAAACAATTTTGACAATTGTGAATAATAATAATAACAATTTGTTGTCTTTAACTATTAATTCAAAAGCAAAGATTTGTTGAGGAAAGACTCATGATAGATACTAGGCCTAACCTTACCTCTACTAAAAAGCTATCTCAAGGAAGTAGGCGTAAAGGGGGAGTGTACAAATATTCAAATAAAGCATCTACATCCATGTGTAACTCTTGTAAAAATGAACATCTCAAGATATCTGGATAAAAAGATAATTGGATAAAAAGGGCTTTGAAATACCAGTGCTTTAATGTCCCCCTCCCCTCAATACATATCATTCCTGCTCCCGTGACTAAAAAGCAAAAAGCGATGGAGTCTCCAGGGAATGTTGGTTGTCATTGTCAATGAGTTTACCTGATTTGTGCATTTGAATCTTTGACATCTCTCGGCACCCACACGCATGTAACACAGACAGACTCCGTCTGTAAGCCTCTCGTACACACTTATGCTGTTGAGATTACATCTGTGATTTAAGAGCAAACTTTTTAATCCTTATGTTTCCGAAGTTGTGTGGCGGCTTCCTTCAGTACACAAACGAGACTCTTCATTGAAGCTTTGGAAGCGCGTTGCTGAAGGTGTGAAGATTGACTTGACAGAACCACAGTGCCCTCCAGTGGTCCAGACACTACAGATCAGATTTACACTGCTCTCACACTGGATCTCGGGAATCTTAATTCACTTTCATTAAATGGAAAAGGTGTTGGTCAAATGGAAATGTTTTTAATATCAATATGGTCCAAAAAAGTTACAAACAAGATGGCAAGTTTTTAGAAATCTAATATTTGCATTCATCTTTATTTCATACATTTTTGTATAATAAATAATGTAATATGTTTATATATATGGTTACCATTTTCTGCAAATTGTTCTGACTCTAAAATGAAAAGGTGGTGTAACCATCATGTAAAAATGACTGATACTTTTTATTCACTTTGAATACAAAATAATTGTTAAATTATTTTCATATTTCCACAAAAGTCATATTAATGTTTTTTTTTTTGTTTTTTTTTTGTTTTTTTTTACAAATATCGTGAATTTCTGAGTTATGACTAAGAAGTCAACATATCAAAGTCAACATATCTGATCATTTAAAAATAAAAAACACACTGTTTTTCAAAAGTGTTTCATATATTAATAATATTTTGTTGTTGAAAAAATAATATAATTGTAGTATAAAAAAAAGATCAAACTATTTATAACACCATTACTTTCAAGCACGACTAAATATAAAAAAAATTCAAAAGCAGAAATTGAAAATGTTTAATGTTTAATCACAGAAAAGGTATTAAAGTCATTTTTGGAATTAACTGCATTTTTATAAAACTATGGAGAATACAAATTTAGCAAAATAATATTTTATACTCTGCTGATTCACATTTAACACTATTCACACACGAACACCTACCTCATTATCAGGTCTAAAGGAGAAAATGAACTTATTTTGATTTCCACATGAGGTTCAGTACTGATTATGAAAGACAGAATACACCACCATTACCACACATGCAACTGAAATCATTTCTAAAGCAAATAGTTGCATGTCTCACTCTGGTCACATGCATTTCCTCCACTGCTCACTGCAGTCTATTGGATCCAGCCAAGCACAAAATATAGGAAGACCGATACAATCAGATGAAGCTGTGATTGACAGTAAAAGTGGACACTATATCTGCTTGTGTGCATGTGCAAGATAAGCGTGCTGATGGGGAACACAGGCACGTATGCCAAAGCAGAATGGTTAGTGGTTAGCCTCAAACAGCTACTCCATTATTATTCACACAAACACACAGTTAACAACACTGATTACCCCAGTAAATTCAGTCATGAGCATGGGGCCTGTTTTTGGAGTCAGTGTAATAATGGAAATCACCCAACTACATAATCAACCACTCAGCACCTATATGTACATACAAGCATGTTACGATATTAACATGCATGGAGGCGACGGAGTGTGCACTGACCTCTTCATATAGTTCATAATGAGATCCCTCGGGAGCCTCTTTACAGCTTTACACAGTCCGTTTAAATTTCTGTCTGGCTCCTGAACAAATCCCGGTCCACTGTCTGCTTTAATTAGAAGAAGATAACCCTAACATCTGAATTTCATGAACAATGCTGCCAATCATTTCAGCTCAACTGAGAAAAATGACACATAGGCTCTTAGCCAGCTCTTTTTTCTCTGACGACGGGTTATTTTCTGAGGGATTTCTCTTACCGCGGTTTTTTAGAAGCTGAAAGGGTTTGTTATTGTTGAACGATTACACAAAGGTCAAGGCAGAGACACTGTGCATAATCCGGCAGATGGCACTTCACAGAGAATTCATTATGAGTAAGTGGATTACAACTCTGTAGTTATGAAGGGTGTAAAATAACAAAGTATGTTGTAACTCTCACATATGGCCATTTTAGTAGTAAACTGAAATTGTTCAATTTTGGCCTACTTTTAGCCTCATTAGCAGTGCAATCAAAGTCTAAAAATCACTATTATTATTGTTCCATAATTTGGCCAATAAATAAATATATTAGAGATGCTGGTCTAGCCTGAAAACCTTTTTTTTTCTTCTTCTTCTTTTTTTTTTTTTTTTTTTTTTTTTTTGGGCAACAAACAAAAAAAACCACAGCAATGGAACCTGTCGTTACTTGAGCAACAACAACAAAAAACCTACTATTTAAAAGTTTGGGTCAGTATGATTACTTTTTAATTTTTTAATTTTTTATTTTTTTATTTTAGGAAATTGAAACTTTTATTTCACAATTTTAGGAATAAACTTTGAAATTAATACATTTTAGCCTTGTTAGTAGTGCATTCTAAAGCAAATATCACTATTACTATTGCTTATAATTTTAACACTGAATAAATGAATTAGAGAATATTAGAGCTGAACTAGCCTGAAAAACATTTTTAAATGATTTGAGCAAAAATGATATAATAATATAATAAAAAATAATAATAAAATCAAATAAAGTAAAATAAAATAAAATATTATTATTAATGTTATTATTTGTGTTAAATTGTATTACTAATTTGAAGTATAAGCTCTATACTGTTCAAAAGTTTGGGGTACGTTACTTATTTCGGTAAAGTCTGTTATAATGTTACATAAGACTTTTATATCACATGCCCATTTTTACTTAACTTTCTAATTATAATTCAATATTACAGTTTCTAGTGTATTTTTGATCAAATAAATAGTCTTTATGAGCATAAGAGATGCTTTCAAAAACAGTAGTGTATATAGAACATCAAATTTTCACCGTTCAACTAGACTGGAACTGTAGTTGCATGACTAGAAACATTATAGTGGTGTTTTCAAGACGGCTGTTGTGTAGACTGACCTAGTTTAAAGAGATCCTGTAACCAAACTTGTGCTACAAACACGATGAAAACCATGCAGCTTAATGAGGGGAGGTGTGATTTTAGGGAGTGATTAGCCTTAATTGTCCTCTGGTAGACAATAAAATAGATGAAAAATCCCACAGACTTACACTGAAGTAATGTTTTTTGACCTAGCAAACACACAACATGCTAAACACCTTAGCATCTGCACCAATACACCCAGTGATGGTGGCTTTTGCCCTTACATCTTCTTCATTGTGCCTATAGCGCTACAGATAAATCCTTTTTCTCACTGAATTTCATTTCTCATATTGGAGCAAACAGACAACAGAATTAACTGTATACTACATGATGCATAGCCCAGTTGCTCAAGTGGACTTTAAGTAATTAAGCATCCTCTAGCCAAATGCAGAGGCTTTGCAATTTTACGCCTAAATTAATTACCAATACCATTCATGGAACATTTATTTGCAATCAGAACAGCCGAGTGAGACAATGGACAACATAAATTATAATGTTAGCCAACAGTGAATGTCCAGAGTCGGTTTGTAATGGCCAGCGGCTAGCCAGAGATTTATAGCACCATATTCTGTAAACTTGTTCATTAAGGCAAACAATAGACTGTGTCAGCAGAAGATCTGTAAGATTAATCACACTAGTTGATCACTGTCCATAGGTTGTTGGATATGTCTGTGTGTCATCTAAGTCTGGCTAAATTGAAGTGGTTTATTTATGCTGTAATGGTCAGCTGCTTGTTAGGATGCTGCAAATTGGAATTTCCATTTTAATGAAAGGACAGAGAGGAACATATCTCAGTGCTGTTAGTTTGTTTTCAGCCTTGAGTACCAGTTTTATAGATTAATACACTTCAGACACTCAAAGACACTATTAAATTGGGCCTGTATCTTTATCTAAATGTCAGTAAATGACAGTTATCTTGTGTATATCAGAAAATGGACAAATGGTTCAGGAATTGTTGCCCGCTTCTATTTCACAGTGTCCTAGCAGGAACTTTAATTGAATAGCTGCCCAAAGTGGGATATGGCTCACGCATGGATTTTTAATAATTTTGTAAGTTTTTAAAAGACTTTTAGAGTCAAATGTCATGCACATGAGTGAAATGAAGGGGAATAATTGGCATTAAACTATCTTAAAGGCATTCTGCATTGCAGGGTTATTCTCAAAAACATGTTATTTTTCACTCATAAAAAAGTAAAATAGTCAAGAAACTCCAAATAAAAGGCAATATTTATAACAGTTTATGAAATAATATTACATGGCTTGACAATACTGTGTATTGTTTTGCACATTGAAATATATTTATATTTGAAATTAAAAATCTCTTGTCCCCTTTAGCTGATATTCATTTATTTGCTATTGTGTGCACAAAAAGCTGAATATGTAATTAATATAATATTCAATAATTTTAAAAGAACAATTTTCCCTTTTATATTTATTTATTTATTTGTTTGTTTGCTGCCAGTTTGTTAAAAATTGTACAAAATAAAAAAAAGGAAAAGTGCAATGGTCATAGTATAGAGAAGAGGCTGTTCAAATATTAGTATTGTGATTTTTTTTTTGCAACAAACTGAATATGGGAAATTTACATTTAAATAAATTATTTTAAAATGATTTAATGCTTCAATCTATTGATTTTGTCTGATTAGTGGCAAATACTCTGAGATGATATTGACACCATCTTCATTAAAATAAAATAATAAAATAAAGAAGAAAAGTTAAGATGTTCTTTATGAGTTGTGGTCATGTTAAGATGCTGCTAAATACTTAACATCAGTTTTTATGGGAGAAAACTGAACTGAATATATATATATATTTTTTTTTTTTTAAATCATTCAAATTCAAAAACTCAAATTGTGTAGATTTACCACTAAAATCTACTTAAAGTAAATCTATATCACACTAAAAAAGTGCAATGCGCATCAACACAAATACATCCTTCTCTAAAGATACTAAATGGCGCTCATCAGCTTGTGATGCTGAGCTGACATTAAGGAACGTGTTCTCACACAAGGAGACAACAGCCTGTAATTTACCTGCATCTCCAAATGCTCCCAATTAAAGTCTAAAACAGCAGGATCCTTGTGCACACCCACTGTGCCACTGCTCTTCTGAGCCACAGGCAGCTGAAGAACCAGGTGTGTGTGTGTGTGTGTGTGTGTTTGTGTGTTATAGCCCAGGACGTCCAAGTAATAGCCTCATAAATCTACTCATGCATAACGCAAAGCAGATCTCGCCGCCATTGGGCCAGCTATGCCTACACCTGCCGTCCTGAACACAGAAGCCAGTCGCCCTCCAGAGGCTCAGTCTGTGGAGTGCTTCATCCAGGCCCGTTTTTGGTGAATACCAAATACCGATTTCGGTCATACAGTTAGCTTAGAGCTTAATGAACACAGATGCTGAGGAACATCCACATGCACAAGCACTTAAATTGATCTCTCACAGCTTTGCATTTCTGTTCAAGAGAAGAATGTGAAATCACTGAGACTTTTATGCTACATATTTATTTCATAATGCTGCATTGATCTGCTCTGATATACAATAAGCTTTTCTTTTTTTTTTTTTTTGCAATAAGCAATTATTAAAACATTAGTTCGTAAAAGCATGAAAACTTAATGCAAAAAAAAACTCATTAGCATAGTGCAAAACAAAATTAGTCAAATAACTGTAATGCAAAAAATCTAATTCTCAGTACTATAATGCAGAACAAAATATTATTTTTGCACTATTACAAAAAATGTATTCGCATTACCATATTGCAATGTCATTGTCATCCCTATAATGCAAAAAATTTAATTCTCATTACTGTAATTTACTGTAATGCAAAAAATGTATAAATTGTAAACGAATTATTATTTACCAACATTTTTAACATTACAACCACAATTATTATATTATGATTTGACAAAAATAGGAATCAAAGACAAAATAGGAAACAAAACAGGAATAAAATATTTGAATACATTAAAGTATATTAAAGTAATGAGAATTTTATGTGGAAAATTAATTGTTTAATATTAATTAAAGACATAAAATACAAATATATAGATAGATAGATAGATAGATAGACTGTATATTAAGGTTAATGAGAATTTTGTGTGGAAAATTATATATATATTTTTTTTTATTTTATTTTTTTTTTTCTATAAGCAGGTCTCTCATTAACATTCATCATATGCAAATTATGTATTAAGTTCACTCCATGCCCTGGCGTTCTTCCAGGGTTATGTTGCTTTGAGGAATTATTGGACGATGCTGATGGTGATGACGGTGACCATGGTGACGATGGCCATGTTGATGGCGTCCATGGTGACGGTGACCATGGCTGCCGTAAGGAAGATGAGAGTGATGATGCTGGTGGTGGCTGTGGTGATGGATCCTCCTGTGATGATGACCACCATGCTCATGACGTCTGTCTTCATGATGTGAATGCAGAATCACCTTTGATTCAACCATCGCTCGTTCTTCCTGAGTAATGTTTGCACACATGGAGTTATAGAAGACGTCCAGATCTATGAAGACAACTCCTATGCCACCAAAGCCTTTCTGGAGCACCTGGACATTAATAAATGCAACATCATCTTCTGATTATCCATCTAGTAGTTTTCATTTCTACATTATGTTACTGCTTTAAAACTACACGTCACTTACCTCTGCTACAAGACTTTGCTCATTTGAGAGACTTGTTAAAGTAATGAACCACTCTTGTCCACTTTTAATGGCCCGACACACCTGAAAGGATAAGCGTTTCAGATGATTAAACAATTTCGCCTAAGCTCTCCCTGAGGAAGCTAATAATTAATGCTAAGCTAATACTGTCTGCGGTTATAGCCTACCTGATCGCCCAGGTATAAGCCCAAAACGTGGATGTGATCCTTCCTTCCTGTCTCTGTATTCATGTCATCATGCTTGAGGTGATCCCTGTGGTGATGCCTTCGACGTGACCGGCGTAGA